TCTTAGATTTGTTGGTAAATATCGAGAGAATAAAATTAAATTAAAAATATGTTTAGCTCCATTTTTAAAAGATGTTTTTTGTTTAATTGAAAACCAAATAGGAGCATATACTTTAACTACATATTCGACAAGTATTTGCAAACTTTCTGATGGATCAGGAATACTTACATATAGTCTAAGTAAACGGTTGGCACAAGTAAGCCATCTTGAATGATATAGATTTCCAGGTTAACGGTTTGCGAGCTCAGGACTACAGGAACCAGTTAATACTGCTTGTCATATTTCATAGAGATATTTTTGATCTGTACTCAGTTCATTAACTACATTTTTCGTTAAATCAGGCAAATGACCGGTCAGTGGTTGAAAAAGCAACGTAGTTTTATTTTCGCAAGTAGCTAATTGTTTTCCAATAGGCCCTGAATATTCTCTAGGACCTGAAGTGCAGCCATCTAAAGCCAAGAATAAATGACGAAAAGGTAGCTCGTTAGCATGAAGCATACAAACACACCATTGTAAAGGTCTATCCAAATACTCTTCAAGGTATTTAATTACACCACCTTTCCACCCGGTATTAGTTGCAGTTCCATCACATCCAACGCAAATTACGTCATTTAAATTGTAATTTCGATTTTTTAATAAAGTTATGATTGAAGTAAAGATTTCTTTTGCGGTGGCGGTGTGGCGATGTGTGTCCCAAAAAAATAGAATTAGGTTCTGATAAAATTGAAATATGTTCTTCTAAAACCACTTTGCGATGGTAACGAACTCCTATTTTTTTATTCACCAACGTTTTGTCTTTTCGACCATCAAAATAAATGCTGTTTAGTGAAACTTCGCTAATATTTTGAAATATATTTTTTCTGGCCTTTGATACAGCTTGTGTACTTTATTTTTCTCTATTACTAGAGTTGAGTCTTCATTTGAAACCAGACCTACGTCAACTAAAACGGCAGAAGCAACAGCAGCAGCAGATCGTGTAGACAATCGATATCTATCACAAACTTTTGCCAATGTTGGTAACTGCAGTAAATTTCGATTAGCGAATGATGTTATTGGTATATTTGTAAATGACAGGTTTGTCAGAAGTGTTTCTGTTGCCAGGTTGGTTTTGGAAAAATTGATATGCGTCTCGTCTTCATCCAAAGCTGTTGAAACAATATTAGAACCTTGTGTTGAGCAAAACTTTTTGACTCCTTTCATTGAACGTTCAAATTGTCTTGCCTGTCGTTTCCTCAATCTGACCGTTTCTTGTTTATCGATGCCACCTATAGCCATTTTTCTCTCATTTCTCTGATCGATCAAAAATTGTCTTTCGTTAACAGGAACTTTTTTATTTTTCAAACATACACATGCTTCAAAGACACATTTACAAGAAGCCACATCAAAAAGCCTCTTTGATAAATCTGAAAAACATTTCAGTTTTTTCTCAAAACTATCATGTCTTTTGCTCTTGGGATATCTTTTCAAAGTGAGATATTTTTCAAAATAAGATTTTAAGAGTTGTAAAACTCGATCATTAGATACGATTGGAATGAAAGCTTTTATCCAGATATTTTGAATTTTTTTAGATACAACTGAATAAATGTTTAAATTGAATGGATCCTTGCCATTACATTTTAGTTTCAGGTCATTCCTAACAAATAAAATAAATTTAATGACATCCCCTATGGTTGGTAGCTGCCGTTCGTTAAGTTCATCATATGGACCTAATATATCCCATACGGTATCGCTACGCATTGAACTCATTTTCTGAAAGATGAAAATCAAACATTTCTAATTTTAAAATTTTATAGCAAAATAATAAGATTAGTTTAATAGAATTCGCTTACAATTAAAATCATGTCTTCAGAAACTGAAATTTTAGTGAATTTGCTAACTCAAACTAGAAAAATTTAAAACAACCAGGAAAACGCTAATGCATACAAATTAAAACAATGTGAAGTTATCACATGTAAACAAAACAAAGAACATATATAACATTTTAATTATGATTCGGATTCGACGTTAAGTGGCACAAAATATTAAGACAAAAAATGCCATTTTTCAAAACTTTAAAATTTGGTAGAACCCTGAAGTTGCAATTTAATTTAATTTGTATGATTATTTTCGTAATTTATGATCAAATTGGCAACTTTCAAAAGGTCTTGTATTGCGAAATTTTAAAAAAAATTTTTCGGGACACCCTAATATATATAAAATATATATATTTGCATTTGTATTGTATAATAGGTTGCTCATGTCAAACTTCACATTTACATATTCATTTGATTGTTTGTTTAATCCTTCCTTTCCTTTAACTTTCATCCATTAATTCATTTGCTTTTCGATCGTTCGTTCATTCATTCAATCATTCATTCATTCATTCATTCATTCATTTATTCATTCATTCACTAATTCATTCATTCATTCGATGTAAAAACTTTATAATTGCAATTTTATTTTTTTATGGTTTTTTGGCTTAATTTTTTCTCATACACTTGGCACGTGCACTGTTTAACATGATTTTTTAAAAATTGCGACACTAACATTAAAATTCTAACACCAAATTTACCCAACTAATTTACATTTCAATATCGACAAGCAGTTTGAACAAGTTATAAGATTTGAAAGCCACCCCAGTTTTGCATTGCTCTGAGATACATACATTGCGGTTGTGGAGTAATGCTTAGAAACCTCTCTTGCAAAAAAATTGTAGTGAATTTTGAAGCTCTTTCGAAGGCAATTACAAACAGAAAGCAAAACTAGCTCACCCAAATATTTCACTCAATTTTTTAAATCAACAATGTTTCTATTCTTCATCGGGCAGCTCAGCTGATGCACGTCACAGTTGTAGCGAGTTGATGTTCTTCATTTCAGCCAGAATTGTCATCTGCCATATTTTCGAACCGCTGCTTTCAACGCTCAGAGACTAAGACTGAGTACCTTGATTTTAGCAGGCAGAAAGGTGGTGAATTTAGTGAAATATTCTTCTGTCGCTCGCATGCATGAGCAGTTCTAGACATCATTGACTGGGGGAGGACCAACAAACTAGCCAACCAAAATAATATATATATATATATATATATATAGAAACAATCTTTTTTTATTCAGCAAAATATATGGTGGTCTTTTATTGCTCCATGTTGCTTAGTGAGTATGTATGAAAGTATGTATGTATGTATGAAAGTATGCATGTATGTATGTATGTATGTATGTATGTACGTATGTATGTCTGTCTGTATGTATGTATACGTATGTAACATATATAAAATGCAGACTGAAAAGCTATGAAACAAATTGCTTGCTCAAGTATACATAGATTGATATAAAAAGCGTTGTGCTTGCTTATAAAAAGGACAAATCGCGTTGAAAGAGAAAATCTTCCGATTAACTGTCAGACTATTAGCAGCATCAAAAAATGAAATACATTCATTCGCAATTCATTAGATAATTATTTTTACGACTCTATTGAAAATTAATTGTGTATAAATATTTTTTTTTAATTGCTATTACTGATTTTAAGAGATCGTAGATATTTTTTTTTCATATTAAAGTCTAACGCGTTTTAAACGACTTGCTCTCGATGGACGATCTTGTGTGAAAATTTTCGATCTAGAACAATTGATAAGCGGTTAGTTCATGGATCTGTCTGTCTGTCTGCTTGTGTCTTTGTGTGTGTATTTGTCTGTCTGTCTGTGTCTGCCCGTGTATTTGTCAATGTATTTTTTGTTCCTCCGTATGCACGAAAATGTGTCCATTTAATTCGTCCATTTGTAAATGTTTGTGTTTATGTTTACAAATATTTGTCTGTCTGACTGCTAGGTCTGAATGTTGATGTAAATATAATGCATGCTGTTTAAATGTGCGTGCATGTGTGTATGTATGTTCGCATGTATGTGTAAGTAGGTCTGCTAGTGTGTGTGTGTGTGTGTATGTGTTTGTGTGTGTGCTTTATTTTTCTGTATACAAATTAGAAAATTTTTGAATAAAAATTTGTAGTATGTTGTTGATGAATATTTAAGTAAAAGGAGGCTTTACTTGCTTTAAATTTGCCAGCACATACGATCGCTCATTCATTTTGTTGCTTGTAGCTAAACACAACAATTCATTAGTTATCAGGGTTTTATTTCTTTGATGTTTTGAATGGTTGAATGAATGAATGAGTGAATAAATGAATGTATGAATGAATATTCTTTTGACGACCATCATATTAATCAATATCAGAATTATTATATTCGTGATCAGTAATTGCTAATTAGTATTATCAATAGCATTTATAGTATTTTGGTTAATAATATGCTTGTTATGTAAGTATATTATACACACATACATACACAACACAAAAACACACAGTGACAAACACACACACTCATACAAACACACACACACAGACAAACACTTACAGACAGACAGACATGCACACACATACACAACACAGACACACACACATAGACACTCAAACACACAAAAAGACACACAGACAGACATACATACATACTATATGACCCCACCAACACATACCTTTCCTAAGATTTTTCATTATTCTAAAGTTCTTCCTAAGAATTAATTTAAAAATTTGACAACTGAACCGAACAAATTAAATGAAATTCAAGTACATCTGCGACACAAATAAATAACTAGAATAACAAAAAAAAAAATTGAAATGATAAACTTTAAACTGATTAATGCCAACAATTCGGTAGAATTCATAAAATATTATATAAAATATGGTCTATATAAGACCGTATGAGTTCAATTCATAATCCATTTTTAAATATTAATTGTCGATATTTTTGAATTTTCTCCAATAAAATTTATAAATAGCTAATTAAATTAATATCTGATTAATAATGGCTTATAATTGAACAACACACACACACACGCACACACCACGCATAATAAACACCACACACGCATACACAAACACTCTTCAATTCAATTATAACATTATACACACACACCACACACAACACACACACACACTGTCACACGATACTTCAGGACGTAAATATATAGCCATATGCAGATTTTTGTATGTTATAAATATACTAAATACATTTTTGTATTTTCTGTGCGTTTGTGTGTATGTTTGTTCGTTTGTATGTGTGTGTGCGTGTGTACATGTGCCTGTATCTGTGCATGTTTGTGTATATATAGTCCATAGTTTCGCACGTGTCGCAGGTGAGAGCTTACATTTAAATTGCACTTTCTCTTTAATCTTCTTCAACCTTGTGCTTATACGCGCACACGCACACACAGACACACACGCACACACACACACACACATATATACACACAAATTTATACATACACACATGTACGTATGCATATGTATATATATATTATATTTACACACATAAGTAATGAATGAAAACAAAAGATTGAGAAATAGATAATGATGTGTTTTATTTTTAACTAACTGATATTTAGACTCTCTATTTCTCTCTCTTTCTCTCTCTCTCTTTTTCTCTCTCTCTCTCTCTCTTTCTCTATCTTGCTATATATATACATATATATATTCTGTAGAATTCGTACAATACTATACATATATATATATAGATAGGATTTGCTTTGCTAGTGACAGATATCGCGTGTCAATAAACACACGTCCCAATGCGTTAATATTTGCAGCCATGCTTCGTCCTATTATATACGTATATATTTTTATGTTGCGTTCATATGAAGTGTTTTGTGTATATAACTATGTATGTATGTGTGCGTGTGTGTGTGTGTGTGTGTGTGTTTGTGTGTTATGTGTTTGTTTTATCCTTATTACATTGTGTTTGTGTTTGTGTGCAAATATGATAAATATATCGTATCGTATATTAGGATACAACATGCACACACACATGCACACACACACGCAAACACACACATGCAAACACACACTCAAACACACACACACGTATACACATATATAATTTATAATCTCACTTGTTCATTCGGCTGAAGTGTTGTCATTGAGTGATTACATTGCGGAAATGTTATATTAATTAAAGAGATAAAACATCACACACACACAAACACACACACACACACCTACCAACAGACACCCACAAACACACACACACACATATATATATATTTATTTATTTAAAAATATTTTTTTAAATAATTTATTTTAAACATGCACATGCAGTTTCATAATACCGAATGGTGGGTTGGATTATAAACATTGCGTGACGCTTGGCCGTCTGCTTATGTATTGTGTGGTTATATATACTGAAAGAAGTAGAGAAAATAGAGAGAAAGAGATAGAGAAAGAGAGAGAAAGAGAAGAGAGAAAGAGGAGAGAGAGAGGAGAGAGACAGAGAAAGTTAAGGGTGAATAAGTAAAAAGATAGAGAGAGTGAAAAAACTTTTGAATTGCATCGTTTCGCGTGTTCCGTACGTGGCTTTCAGTGCATTCTAATTAATTCCTCCGCTAATTTTTATGCAGAATTAATTTTTTATTTTTAGATAAGTAAAAAAATTAATTGTAGTCATTAATTGATTGCTTTGCAGAGAGAGAGAGAGAGAGAGAGAGAGAGAGAGAGAGAGAGAGAGAGAGAGAGAGAGAGAGAGAGAAAGAGAGAAAGAGAGAGAGAGAAAGAGAGAGAAAAAAAATTAAACATATTACATCTGAAGTAATATCATCTTGTTATTTTGCTTCGTATCATCTTGACTCGTTTCATGCTGAATGCCTCTTGAAAGCCAACGACATGCAGATAAAGTAAATGTGAGAATAAAGTATTACCCAATAAACTGTGCAATTGTATCAATAGTTTTAATGTGTTGTAGCTTTTTCCATTCTATTTCTCTCTATTTGTTTGAAGTAGTCTGAGCTTAGCTTGCCGACAAAATTTGTTGGCATAATTTGTGTACGTGTGTGCGTGCATCTATGGATGTGTGCGTGCGTGTGTGTGTGTCTTTCTCTCTCTCTCTCTTCTCTTTCTTTTTCTCTCTCTGTCTTTTTTCTCTCTCTGTCTTCTCTCTCTCTCTCTCTCTCTCTCTCTCTCTCTCTTGAAGGTTGTCATTAGCACTCGTTTATTACACGTTCACATATTTACACGATCGTTTGTGTAAAGGTTTATTGATAGTAATGTGTGTGTGTGTATATGTGGTCCTACATGGTACATACAGATACATGAGTGCTTCTATATTTACACATTAGATTTATTTTCACACTTTAATAGCACACGTGCAGTTTTGTGTGTATAACATCGGCTTTTACACACACACATATACACATACAAGCTCACAACTGAGCACACACACTAATCTCATCCACAATAACATAACTGCACACACACACGCACACATAAACAAACACACACAAACATTGTACATTTTATCATTCACACACACAACAACAACACACACACACATAAAAACACACACGCACAAACACACACACAAACAAAGTATACACATTATACACTTTCACATACATATTTTTATATCTCTATGTACACACAAAAATTATGTTAGTGAGTTGATGAGAAGTTGTTGGCTTGATTGATTGGCAGATGGATGAAGGCGTTTGTCTCAATATGGGTCAGTGAGTTCGGTGTCGATGAATGAATGAGTGAATAAATGAGTGAATGAATGAATGAATAAATGAATTAGTTAATGCATTATTAAACGAATGAATGAATGAATAAATGACCGACCGACTGATCGTATGAATTAATAAATGAATTAATGACTCAATGAATTGAAATAAATTAATCACCTAAACGAACATTTAAACAAACAAACAAACAAAACAAACAAAACAAAACAAAATAGAACAGAGCAGAACAAACAAACAAATAAAGACAAATAAACAAAAATAAAACAACTGAGCGAGTGACGAGAAGAAGAAAAAAAAACCCTCAAAAGCAAAGCAATTGCAATGCCAAGCAAATGGTAAGTAATCTTCTTTAACAATACCAACCTGACTTATCAGAACAGAACAATACTTAGATGCGTGTGAATGTTACAATTATTACAACTACACGAACTCTCTCTGTGTGCGTGCGTGCGTGTGTGTCTGTGTGTGTCAATGTGTGTGTGTGTGTGTGTTTATCTGTGTCTGTGTGTGTGAAGTTTTTGTTAAATTAACCCAAGTAGATTTTTTTTAAATTCACTCCGTCATAATGCACGAAACATTGCGTGATCGAACGCACGCACCCAGCTTTGCGAATGAATGAATGAATGAATGAATAAATTATTTAATCATATACTGACCAAATAAATAAAAAAAATTGCAGTACATATGTATATATGTGTGCGTGTGCATGTGTCAGACAAAACCTTGAATGGAACAAACAAACAAACAAACAAACAAACGACAAAACATGTAAACAGATACAAATTTTATTTAAAAATTTGAATCTATTATTTAAGGTTCTTGCGTGTCAAAAACCCACATGCAAACACACACAAGCACACACACACACACACACACACACACACACACACACACACACACATAAATAATATATTTTTGAATCGTTATCTGCAAAACGTTCACGAATACATATATATATATTTAGATATATTTAGATATATATATTTTTTTAGATATATACGAAGACACATACATGCACCATAATCCATTATTTGAAATTGCGTGACAACAGATAGATAAGCAAGCACAATAACCCAAATATCCATATGTTATTACAGACGATACGAGCGTTTCGTTCGAACTTCTATGAATTGGCGAATGTTTAGTGATTGCATGCTTTGAAAAAGTTCTCCTCTGTTAATCTATTTTATGTTTGTTTTGTTTGCTCTCTTCTCTCTCTCTTTCACACACACACACACACATCACAGACACACACACACACACACACATTCATTTACACCCACACATAATTCACGTCCACAATGTTTGGTATAGTACTAGCTAATACAGAGTTTCAATGTCATTACTTTTCGTTATTGATTACATCAATATTTTTACATATTTAAAACAGACGCGAGAATTCAAATCATCTGTACTTGCCGGCAACAATTAAACAATCTTGAAGAAGTAGAAATAAAATATAGTTTTTACGAAAATTGCAAAATGGAGATAACTAGTGATAGCTTCATGGAGACCTACCTTTTCACGACCTACCAGCCGAGATTCGGGTCCCTCCATGTCGACCCCAACTCACCGACTCCATACTCAGACGCCCTGAAGATCATGGGTGCCAAGAAGGAAGCAATCGCCACTGGCGGGTACGTGAAGAGACCCATGAACGCTTTCATGGTTGGTTCACGTGTGTTATTTGGCGATATTTTGATTTTAAAGCAGTAAATGTTTTATTTTGTAAATGACTTTTATTCGCAATTACAATGAAAAACGTTTAAAAATGATGCAAATTGTCACCGCTATATATTGATGATAACTTAAGGGCATAGGCTACCTGTTGTTGCAAATAGCACAACCCAAACTAAACAAATTTCCGGAGACATTTTAAAGTTGACTTTTGAAACAACCAAAACGCAGGTGTGGTCGCAGTTGGAGCGACAGGCCATTCAGAACGAGCACCTGGCCTCCTCGCCAGCCTCCAACCGACAGATCCACAACGCGGAGATCAGTTGCAGACTTGGAAAGGACTGGAACAAGCTTTCAGAGAAGCAGCAGCGTCCCTACATTGAAGAGGCAGAGAGGTTGAGACAACTGCACATGAAACAATTTCCTTCCTACAAATACAAACCTCGCAAAAGGTGAGAACAGATTTTCAATTCTAAGAAAGAATGGCATTTAAATTTGTGCTAAGTATAAGAAATCGAACGCGGTAAATGCCTTAAATAACTTAACCGTAATTACCTGGTCCGTGTGAACCGCAATAAAAGTCTGCGAAGACTGAATTTTGTTAACTCATAAAGTTTATTTATTTAGCGAATTACTGTTGAAACTCGAAACAATAGCATGACCCAATTTGTTTATTACGACGAACGGACGCATAAATAAAGCACGCGTCTGCCTCGGATTGTTATGCTAATTAATGCACTCATCGATTAAATAACACAAGAATTTCAACCAGATTATGAAAATATTTGACATTTTCATCCATTTAAATTAGATTTGTTACTGTTGTTATGGTTGTTGTTGATGTTATTTTTATTTAATTTTTAAGGTAAATATTTAAAAATTTAAATAATTTTTAAATTTTCAAGGGGCCAGTTACAAACATCAAGCACGGACGATGACAAGTCTTCCATTGGCAGTCCAGAGATGGCGAATCAGCTTGAAAGATGCGACAGACAGGCCTCAAAAAGATCGCCAGGCACGACAGAACACAAAGATTCCTGGAAGAAAGTGGCCAACGCAAAGAAGCAAACATCGAAACAACCCGAAAACCCAACCTCCAAACGCCCAACTTCGCAAAAGTCAAACAAGCCCGATGCAAGCCTCTTCAGATGGAAATCATCGGACAGCGTCAGCCATCAATCGATCAACACGGACAAGAGACCGAAACTGAAAATGACAATCAGCCCTGATAAAGAATTGAAATGTGTATGTCTGGAAAGCGTTTCAGAGACGAAAATATTCAGTGCCGTATTAAATTCAAACCGATTTACCACGCATATGGAATTCTCAGAGATCAACAGAAATAAAATGTCCACAATAATGGAAGTCCTCAATAGATCGATAAGTTGTCCAGACAATTCCACCGATATTTTAATTCAGAGAGCCAGCAAGCCGTGCAAAATTAGCAAGGCAGATGAGAAGGTGTACTTGAACAGAAACTTTTATTCTTACGACGGAATCCAACAACAATCGGTCGCCAACGGCAACGTCATTTCATACAGTCCGAACTACATAACGTTATCAGACTCCAACTTGTTCATACCGATGAACAACTCTGAGAAGCAAATCATTTCCCCAGCTCTTCCGGAATTATCTCCTTCAAAGCCTGACTCTGCCAAAACGTTTTTCTACGATGATTTGAAACTTGACACCGGCGACGAAGTGTACGTTTCTCGGGCTCAACCTTACAAAACCGAAAGTGATGAAGGAGTATTGGAGGAACCTGCAGTGTGGGGCAGTGTCGTCCAAGCAACATTGGAAAATAATTTTTCTAATTTCAACGCAAATATACAAGTCGACACACCGGAGTTCATAGGAGCTGTAGAGCCAGATTACTTCCAGAGCTTACCGACAACGTCATCGGTGACAACAACAAGTGACAACCAGTACATGGATTACTTCTGCAACGATATCTGCCCCGCAAACATTCCAGATCAGATGCCTTTAAATGAAAACTCCTGTTCATCGGAAGACTTGGAGTCCATAGAATTCTCAGCCAATTGGGAGCGAGAGCTGTCCCAACTTGACACGGAAAAGATGATCATGGACGTACAGGAAGAAAATATAAATGATTTACTCAATATTAATAAATCGGAATTTCAAAGCTCGCCTTGCTTACCACAAAACATACAAGTGCCTGATTTTTTTTACGATTACGAAAACACGTGCGACGATCTAAACGACGGTTATTACCACATTGAAGATACTAACTGCTTTTTGGACAGAATGCTTGAGGAGAATGATCGTCTGCCTACCATCATCGCGCCAACCGCAATTTGCTTTTGAGGATTTTCAACAGTTCAAACAGATTTTTTTTATTAGCTGGCAGCATTGTTCCATATTCTCTTTTGATTTCTTTACAGTTATTTCATTTTTTTATAGTTAAAAGATCAAAATTATTTATTGAAATTTGTAGAACATAATTGTGACCAGATTACATTTTTATATTGTAAATGTACTTTTTACTTGTTTTTATACATACAAAACGTTGAAGAACGGACATATCATTTGTTAAAAAGCACTTGAATAATTTTTCACAAAATGTTTCAAATAACTTTAAAATATTTAAAAAAAACTATTTATTAAAAAGCAATTGTGTAAATATTTCAATATTTGCAATAATACAAAGTGTTTATCAATAGTGATTTTATAAGAAATATATTTTTACTAACATTAAGATATAAACTATAGAAAAAATTCTGTTCATCTTTCATTACTTTTGTCCGTTTTACCGACTCGTTCAGAGGTTAATTTTTCGAGCTTTTTGTTCAACTTCGATTTCAACTGTGCCCGCTTATCGGGTTTGAGAGTTTTGGGAGGTACACCGGAGCCAGGGTACAACTTTTGATCTGTCGCCAGCTGCTTTCTTGCCGCCCTTTTTGCTGCCTCGCCACATCCATGAGCCTCCGCTAGGTGGTGGTTGAGGCAGAAACGTTGGCGACAGAAGGCACAATTCTGACCAAGTACTGTAACTTTTGCGTTGCATCCTTCCTTGGAGCACGTGCTATTCTGTAGCTGGGCTGCTTTTATTATTTCGTCAAAGCCAGCAGCACCACCAGCAACATCATTTGTAGAGTCTTCCGTCTCTTGTCTGCTTGAACTTTTTTTATTCCTCTTCTTCTTTCTCGCCGTATTTTTTTTCGACTGAACATCTTCGTCTGGACTTTGTGATGTTAGTGCTGGTCCACACCGAGATGGAGACTCAGAGTTGTGAATAACATCTTTGCTACCAGCGGCAGCAGAAGTGGTCGAGTGGTCGAGACTTTTTGTGGATTGAGGTCGGACTCCAACAGCTTCGTCATTCAAACATAAGTTATTACGATCATTTTGATCGGCACCATGGTAATTGTCACTTTCGAAGACTTGGTTGCCAGTGGCACCATCAGAGAAGGGGTCCCAGTAACATTCAGTTTTGCTCGCTGGAGTTTGTACTTCTTCACGAGTAGTTAGAGTAACATTTTTTTCTATCATTCCACCAGTCGGATAGCTATCAGTTGAATTGTCGTAGAAATAACTCGGGGTATCTTTCTCATTATCCTCCTCGCGATGTTTATCGCCATCGTCGTAGTCTTCCTCCTCCTCATCATCCTCGACATTGTCATCATCACCATCAACAACACCACCACCATCATCACCATCGCCACCAGTATCATCATCATCATCACCATCAACATCGTCATCGTCATCACCATCATCAGCGGGTGGAAATTTTTTCGATATTTCGATGTAGCGATCCTGAGCCATGCCTCTGCTCACATGGCATATATCCAACTCCTCGCATAGCTGGAAAATAAATACAAATAATAAAAACAACAATAATAAAGATAACAATTTTTTTTTTCAAAATTTTATTGACATCAAAGGCAATCAAGAAGTTATAATGAAAACTTGTGATTTCAGAGTTGTGAATAACAATACTAATAACAAAAAAAAAAATCAACAACAGAATAATAATAATCCTAAATCGAATCTAATAAAAATGTTAAATACGTAATCCATTAATAATCATAATAATATAAATAATAATAAAAATGATAATAAAAATGATAATAATAATAATAATAGTAATAATAATACCTGATGGATAAACAGCCGGTCTGCAGAGGTTAAACAGGTTGAAAATTTGTACTTAAGCCTCTTATCGTCCTTCAGGAAATCCATCAAAAGAGGCCTCCATTGTTCTTTTCTAACAACAACAACAACAACAACAACAACAACAACAACAACAACAACAACAACAACAACAACAATAAATAATAATAACAATAATTAATATTACTTTTGGTTTCATCGTATTTCAAATGTTGGTGGATTTTCAAAAAATGAAAAAATTCCTATTATAATTATTATTTTTCCTATTTCTATACTTTCAATGTTGCTCTTAGGCGGCCCAATGGCCAAAGGCGTAGCGGTAGAATGCTCGCCTCTACATTTCCGTGACTCGATTCAAATGCAAGAGAGATCACATATTTTAAGGAATATGTATGCTGAATACTTAAGCACAAGCAGGGGATCAATTGCTTTAAAGGAATCAAATTTGTAGAAAGCTTTTGTTAACACTAAGCCATGTTTAAATTATACATCATTATTATTGATTATTTGCAACAACAACAACACCACCAACAAAAACAACAACAGCAACAACAATATAAATAATAATAAAGATAATAAGCAAGCACCTGAACTGTTGGGGCATGTTGAAGAGTTCGTCGTTTCTTACCTTTTTAACATTTCGACGATTGTGTTGAACTTGCGAGTCGATGGTGGGCTGCTGCTGTTGGCTGTGACCCTTTAGGGCTGTCGTCTGGTCTGCTCTGCTGCAATTTTCGTTCAGCTTTCTAGCATTCGATTTCGAAGGTTTTTTAGATGTTGTTGTTGTCTTGTTGGCGGAACGTTTCACCGATGTTGTCGTACGATGCGTCGTTGCTGGGGCAGCACAATAACTTGCTCCTTCGAGAACAACTTTTGGGATTTCAAGGTCAGGCGAGTTCAAATCTGCAAAACGAT